GTCTTGTTAGGATTACCATCGTCGATAAAATGCTCAATCACATCAACTCCGCTCTCCTTCATCAAATTCGCCACATCTCTCTACCTATCTATCATCGCACCTCCTCCTTTTCCAGTAACCATCACCTTCCATCTCAACAAGGAACAACGAGCTGCGAGGAGGGAAACGAACAAACAAGGCCTAACACATCTCAAACAAAACTAAGCCATTAAAAAAAAAAAAAAAAAAAAATTAAGCCATGAATGTATCTATAAAAGCAAGTGTATTTACCACGGCCATGAGTAAATTTCAACGACTTAAATACATACACGCAAGCAACACATCTCAAATTCAAATTCAAATTCAAACAAAAATAAAAATACCTAACATCAGTGACAGTTGATTCAAGAACAGCTCGTCGAGTGTATTTACCACGTCCATGAGTAAATTTCAACGACTTATATAATCTCCTCAACCCCGCTGAACAATACTTCCTACAACCAACAAGATTATTAATACATTAATTCTTTTTTTTTTTCCCCCGCCAATGAGCTTAGGGTTTAATATTAAAATTACCGATAACGAGTATAGTCACCACGACGCAGACCACGCTGCACCTGAGAAGTTTTCATCAGCTGCAGAACTGTTAAATCCAAACGCCACGTCACACACACATTCACAAATTTTTCGAAGATAGTAATGACGTAATGAAACTGACCATTCATCGAGAATATGGAATATTCACCATTCTCGTTCTCCTTGTTCCCCCTTGATTCACGGCGAATATGGAATATTCCGATGGTGACGCTGAGCAGCGGAGGAATCGAAACACAAGCGAGTGCTCGAAGAGATGACGACGAGTAGTAACTGATGTGTAAAGAACTATAAAGTTTGATATGTGTAGTCCAGTTTAATATGGCCATAATGGGCCTCGAGGCCCATAAAAAACACATGTAGATAATTTCGGCCCCTCTAATTAGTTGGTCAAATATATCTCCGAATATAAATTGCTGGCGGAAATTAAAAATAGAAGGGAATTACAAAATATTCCAGGTATGCATGTTCAATCTGGATTTTTGATCCGGTTTCGGTTAAATTTATGGATATATCGGTTTATAAAAAATAATTATCATATTGAATCCATATCTGATTTGATTTGGTTTGAATTATATACTAATGATTTTTAATTTATTCGGTTTCATACCAAAAACTATGACTATATTTATTTCTTATAACAAATTTTAGTTTATAAGATTATAAATCAAATTTATTAAAACATAAATATGTATAAACTTTGGAATAACATTCATTCGGTACTATTTAATTCTAATTATTTTTTCTATTTCGGTTCGGTTTTATCAGATTGAATATCTCTAATTCTAGAATATTATTAAATTGAAAAAATCAATAAATATTTGACAATTAAACGGACGGAAATCTATACAGATAACGGGATCTGGTTGAAGAAGAGACCGGAGTGGACCATATTAACAACCAAATAATTCAAAAATCATTATAATAATAATTTGTTTAATTATCCAATGATATCTTATAAAGTTTATGTGAAGTTCCATATGTCCATTGGTTATTGCTACTGTTTTGTTGTTCTGTCCAATCGTGTTCTTCAAGATTTAGCACGTGAAAGTCTTATACAATCTTATTTCCATGGTGTATTAGTTTAATCTTTTGATTTGTTTAAGAACATAGTTTATCTCTTAACCAATGATCTCATTCTCAAGTTTTGCATATCTTTAGATGTTGACTTAAGTATCATACATAAACAAATATTTAATGATGGCTGTAGGCATGTGACACTGCTAATTCTAATCTAAATCCCGATTGTTAATCAAAATTTAGAGGCCGGTTTAGTACTGGTATGGACTAACTCAACGCCGGTTCGTTTTGGTTGAGCATCTTCTTTAACGTGAGTGTTGCACACGAATTTGTAAATTTTGTAGGTTGGTTAGATGAATCCAACGGCTCGTGTTTGCTGGTTTAGCTTTTTGAGGTGTAAACTAATGAGAGATTGACACGTGGATGCGTTGAGAAAGAGCATCTAAAGAATAGATGCTTTTCTAATCCTTCACGCAGCGCCCAGCATTTAAAATCACGGACAGTGACCCTCTCTCGCACGCCACTTCACAGTCTCAAGCCAACTAGCTCGGCTCGGCTCGGCTCGGGTTGGCCGGCATATATATACTAACATTTTTATTTCTTTTCGTTTCCAATAGTATTGGGGAATGGGGACTATAGTTAACTGATATATGTTGAGTAGATTAATCCAATATTTTATTTTATTTTATTTTGTATAATTGGTTTTAAATATATATTTTTCATTTTGTATTATTCGACCAGGTCTGATTTTCTCATTCAGTTTTGGACTTTCTGGTACTTGTTCCTGATTTATTGAACCAAAACCGTAATAAAATTTTACATGACAAGGCTAGACAAATCATACTGTAAATATGAATGTGTGTATGCATTTAAGAAATAATAATACATACATATATATATATATATATATATATATATATATATATATATAAGATAGTGGACCATTATCTTATGAATACTCTGGTACATCTGTTAGGAGGGGGGGGGGGGATACTCTATCTGATATTTTTAGAATGGTATTTTGTATTCAAAAAATAATAATGGTCGACGGAGATCCCTATACAAAACACTTGATGAATCTTTAAGCTAAGCATTTATATAAACGTAAATAGAAACGTTTATTATACTAATAGGTTCAGTATTTGAAAATAAATTCTCAGATGATATATCGTACACGACACTCACCTTCGGCCACATTTCACGGTCGTTTGGCTATGTGACTGCATTTTATGTGTTTATTATATTTTGGTTATGGTTATTTTGCAGTTTACGTTGTAAGATAAAAATACAAAGACATTTAGTGGATGACTTTTATTTGTCATTTTCCATTTGTAAGTTCGATCCTACAAATGCTAAAATTTCGGTAACGTGGAGGGTTTTGTCCATCAAACCAATCAAAATTCACTTGGATTATGATAAGTTACTTGATGCCATACCTTACGTTGTACTACGATTTTGTATAAATGTATTAAAGCGACATTTTACTTGAGGTATGGTGAGGAGAAAACAACAAACTAGAAAAATCCAAACGCAAATGATAACGACCATGAACTGGGAGTGAAAGAAATGAGTCTCTCTTTAGAAGAAAAAAATAAAGAAGTAATGAACCAAAATAATTTTAAGATGTAATACTGAACCAACCAACCAAACATTATCTCGATCGGGAGATTACAATATTGACTTGATAATGATTTATTGTTGGGTTGCTTGCTTAGCAACGTAAGATATATATCGTGAATTCTAAAGCCTATAGCAAAAGAAATTGTAAGCTATGTGTTAAATAACAGCTAATACATAAAAAAAATAAGGTTTGAGCTACTTACAATTAATTGATTTTAAACTAGAAGTTCATGATAAATCTGAATTTTACATGGTATTTGACTCTCGTTTGTCGATCAAAAGTTGATGGCACAAAAATAAATCATTTATATTGAGACCGATCTTTATGTGCATGTCTTTCTGTGTATTTTTTTGTTGTCTTCTATCCATTATTAGTTAGATATGTAGGTATACATTTAAGTACATGTTATGATGTAAAATAAAAAGATAGTAATATCTTAACAATTGAATATCTAATCATCGGTAAGATGCTGTAAAAATCGCTTCGTTTAGCACACTAAACCCTCATCCTGTCAAAATATCATCTAAAACAAGTATTGATAATGTGTATGTAGATTCTTAACTTGATTTGTACATCTTAATAAATAGTTTAAATTAGATTCTGATCCACGCGGCGGTGCAGATTTAATTTTTTTTATTTTTAAACAGTTTCATACATAATTGATTATATATATTTAATATAGTTTTATGGTTTATAAACATAAATTTTATTAATTTTTAAATCATCTTTTTAGTTGTTATATATATATATATATTTATATTTTATGGGTTAAAATTGAAATGTATATATATATATAACAATGAAAGTGAATTATCAATTATTTTTTTGTCTATATATTATTTATTTTATAATAATAATCTATTATTTATGTTGAATATATGTTTTTAATCTTTAATAATAAATATATAGGTATTAGATGATATTTTTATTATAAATTTAAACACATTTATTATATATATTTCTAAATATAAGAAATATATATTTTTGAAGTTATTAGTGAACATTCTTTTTAATTATTATAGCTTAATTTATTTGGTTAATTGCAATTAAATTTTTAGATTTGTATTTATTAAAATATTTACAACGAGGATTATAATATAGAGAAAAAATTCTCATAACTATAATTTTAGATATGGATTACTTAGATATGTGGAAAATTGGTTTTATCAAAGTATTTAAATTTCGATAGATTAAGATTACAATTAAATAATAGATAAATCCAATGATATAAGAATCTAATTATTGAAGAAATTAAGAGGTATTTCAAATTTGTACTTCAAATTTAACCGTTTTAGATGATTTAAAAGTGGTTACACTTAAAAACAAAAAAAAAAAACAAATTAGTTCACATGTATTTAATAGCCGGCTCGTTAGCTATAAGCCGAACTCGTCGTCTGCCGTCAAGACTCTCGTGTAACTCCGTAATATTTTATTTTTTTTCTCTTTATTAAGAAAACAAATTAATGTTGATCCAACGGTCCAGATTAAATCACTTAACATAACCACTAGGTCCACAGTACATACAAAAGCAGCAGAGTCCTCCTCTTCCCATACTCTCAATTCTTTTTTTTTTGTCCGCTCTTTTTCTCTAAACCAACTAACCGTAAAATAAAATAAATAAAAAAAAAACCAAAAAATAATCTCTCTCTCTATCTCTGCCGGGATCGTGCTTCGTCCGGCAGAGTCTCGCCGGAATCATCGTAATCATCGTCGTGAGAGGAGGGGGAAATTCGAGAAAATTAAAAAAAAAAATTAAACTCCGATTTTTCACCTTTTTTTTTTTTTTGGTGAATTAAAATATTCTGAGATGGATGTGATTGGATAGAAGGAAACAAAAAAAGCAGAGGAGGAAGATTAAAGAGGAGAAAAAAAAAGAGAATTATTCCGTCAAACATTGGTGTTGTTTGATCGTAAGGTAAAGAGTTTTACGAGATCCGTTATTTTATTTTATTGAAAAATAATTAATTTGAAAGTATTGTTTGTGAGGAAGCGTAATTGTGTTTGTTTGTAATTAGGTGAAGCTTTTTTTTTTTTTTTTTTTTCTTTGCTGAATTTAGTTTTTTTTTGGGAATTAAGTTAGTTTCCGTGTGAATTAGGTAGGAGTTGGTTCTCTGTTTTGGATATAATGAGTTTAACAAAGGATCATGAGTTTTAGGCGAAATTGTATCTCTTTCCAGGTGGTCCTGGTTGCTTGAAGGGAGAGATTTAAGATGATTTTTCGTGTTGAGATTGTTGTTATAGTGCGTAAAGTTGTTACCTTTGTTTCACTCTTTGGATTTGGGGGCTCTTATGGTTCTTATTAGAGTTAGTACTCTGTTTTGAATATAATGAGCTCAGCAAGGATCATGAACTAGGCGAGATTGTAGTCTTTTATGGCTTCTTGAGATGATTAATCTTTGGTTAAATGGAGAGATTTAAGATAATTTTCGTGTTGAGATTCTTATTAGAGTGCTTAAAGGTGTAAACTTTTGTTTCACTCTTTGGATTTTGAAGGTAGTGTCTCTAATGGCTCTTATTAGAGTTGGTTCTCTGTTTTGAATATAATGAGCTAAACGAGGATCATGAATTAGGCGAAATTGTAGTCTCTTTGTTTAAATGGAGAGATTTAAGATAATTTTTGTGTTGAGATTCTTATTAGAGTGCTTAAAGGTGGAAACTTTTGTTTCACTCTTTGGATTTGGGGGTAGTTATTGTAGTCTCTCTTATGGTTCTTGTTAGAGTTAGTTCTCTGTTTTGTAATGAGCTAAACGAGGATCATGAATTAGGCGAAATTGTAGTCTCTTTGCTTAAATGGAGAGATTTAAGATAATTTTCATGTTGAGCTTAATGTTATAGTGCGTAAAGTTGTTAACTTTGTTCCATCCTTTTGGATTTGGGGGTAGTTATTGTAGTCTCTCTTATGGTTCTTATTAGAGTTGGTTCTCTGGTTTGGATATGATGAGCTCAACAAAGGATCACGAATTAGGTGAAATTGTAGTCTTATATGGCTTCTTGAGATGCTTAATCTTTGGTTAAATGGAGAGATTTAAGATATTTTTCCTGTTGAGCTTATTGTTATAGTGCGTAAAGTTGTTAACTTTGTTTCATTCTTTTGGATTTGAGGTTTGAATTCTTTGTCTTGGTGTTATTTTGGGTTGATGTTGTAGCTGATACGTGAGTGATTGGACCTTTTTGTCAAGATCTTTTGAAAAAGTGGATTTTGTTTCTTCTGTAGACTGTAGAGTTACTTCGCTTTAGTAACACTGTTTTGTTGTTCTTTGTTTTTTTTCCAGGGGGAAGAGCTATGGTCCGTTGAAAAGAACTAAAAAGTTAAAACAAAAAATTTGGTTCTGGTTTTTATTTTTCGAGTTTTGTTGTCATCTCCATAATGCCGTCTGATGTGATGGAACAGGGAGGTGTATCAACACCTTCTCACTTTCGTGAAGATATACATCTTACTTCAGAGGTAACTCTTGTTGTTTCGTGGGGTTTTTTAACTGTGTAGTTCTAGAATCGCTCCTACCATATTTGTCACTATAGTCTATGATGTCTAAAACTGTTCTTTTTTTGGTTCGGCAGAGGCAGTTTGGGTTTCTGAAAACAGATACGATGCTCGAAAACCAAGGTGGCCATTTGCCAAAGAGTTTCTTGACACCTGAAAGTTATCAGCTGAAGCCACAATCTAGCTTGTCTGGGGTGCACCCTTCTGCTAGTCCTAACGCAAGAAACACTACAAGTGATAGTCAGTGGGAAAGCAGTTTGTTTTCCAGCTCACTCTCTGATTTATTTACTAGAAAACGTAAGCTTCTGGTTTACTTTGGTAAATTTGGACTTATGTGTGTCGATTTTGTTTTTATCAGCTGTTTAGTGCGTCGCCTAATTTCTGTTTTTGCAGTGCGCCTACAGGGAGGTGATATGCTATCTCCTATGTCTGGAAACACAGCTGTTACCCACCGTGAGGAAGAACCTTCTGCAACTTTAGAAGAAATTGAGGCGCAAACTATTGGTAATCTTCTGCCAGATGAAGATGATCTCTTTGCAGAAGTGATGGGTGAGGTTGGGATTAAGTCTCGTGCCAATGGAGATGATCTGGATGATTTTGACCTCTTCAGCAGTGTTGGTGGCATGGAACTAGACGGAGATGTTTTTTCTTCCGTGGGCCACAGGAACGGCCAGAGAGGCAGTAATAACTCTGCTGGCGAACATCGTCGAGGGGAAATTCCATCCAGAACAATTTTGGCCGGAAATATCAGTAGCAATGTCGAAGACTATGAGCTGAAGGTCCTTTTTGAGGTACCTTATTTCAGCAGAGTTTTTAGTTCCCATTGATTCTTTATTCTGGAGTTGGTTACTTGTACTGAGGATACATTTACTTTTTCAGCAATTTGGAGACATCCAGGCTTTTCATACAGCTAGCAAGAATCGTGGCTTTATCATGGTATCGTTCTATGATATAAGGGCTGCTCAAAATGCAGCGAGGGCGCTCCACAATAAGCTATTAAGAGGAACGAAGCTTGATATTCGTTATTCTATCCCTACGGTAACTGTTCTTCTGGAAGATTTTTCTTACGTATGTGGACTGTCCTTGTGACTTGTATTGTGTTTTAATCTATTTTACAATTTTCGTGCTATCAGGAAAATCCTTCAGAAAAAGACGCCAGTAAAGGAGCCATATTAATTAATAATCTTGATTCTTCTATTTCAAATGAAGAGCTCAATCGAATGGTCAAATCATATGGAGAAATCAAAGAGGTTGATATATTTGGTTCTCCTAACGTTTACTTTTCGAGGTATATGCTAATGTTGTTGTTTCTGTGATTTGCAGATTCGTAGAAGCATGCATGATAACCCACAGATATACATAGAGTTTTTTGACATTCGATCTGCAGAGGCTGCTCTTAGTGGACTAAATGGACTCGAGGTTGCTGGGAAGCAGCTTAAACTTGCGCCAGCCTGTCCAGAGGGTAGAAGGTGGTGATTGTTTTTTATCTTCTTTTTGTCCTGCTTCATATTCTATGAACTAATGCACATGCTATTAAAAGACTTTACAAGAACATCAGCTGTGTTGGTGTGTGGGATTTACCCATATTTTTTTTTTTCTTTTACAGATACATGCAAGATGCTGAAGGGTGTCTACCTAAATCGTCTTTTACCAATACATCATCTGTGAACATGGGTATGCTTTTGCATTAACCATTTGTAATTCATTTTTCTTAAATGATTTGTCATCTTTGGACTCAACTCACTACCGTTAAATATCTTTGATTCAGGGAGACATTTCCCAGGATTAATATCCTCAACTTCCATTGATGGTGGATCTATGCGGGTTAATCCTAATTCTGTTGGATCACCTGTGAACTCCTTCATTGAACGTCATCGGAGCGTCAGCATTCCTATTGGATTTCAACCTTCGGCAAACGTCATGTCAGCCAGCAAGCCTGTCGGAATTCAGGAGCATGGCCATTCTTTTGATAATACAAATATGGGGATCCAGAGCATGCCAAATCTTCAGCCTCATTCTTTTTCGGAGTATCTCGACAACTTTTCGAATGGTAGTCCATATAAATCCTCGACTGCAAATGAAGGCTTTATGTTACATAATGTTCGTGGAGTAGATGGCTTTAATGGAGGGGGTAAGCTCTATCTCTAAATTGCTACTGTCATGATAAATTTTATGAAGAACAATGATGATATGTAGTTGCAATTGTGAGTTAGGAAGAATGCTCTGCGGCAGCACACTATTAGAAGCACAATCAGAAGTTAGATATTGAGAGTAAAATGACTGAACATGATATTGCTTTTACTCACTTTTAGTTGTTGCGTTCTTTTACCTGTAGGCGTAGGATCTCCCATGAATCAAAGCTCCCGCCGCCCTAACCCTAACCTATGGAGCAACTCTAACAATCAGCAACATAATCCGTCAAGTGGCATGATGTGGCCTAACTCGCCGTCTCACATCAACAGCATTCCTACTCAGCGCCCACCTGTTACTGTATTCTCTAGAGCACCTCCTGTTATGGTGAATATGGCATCTTCTCCTGTGCACCACCACATTGGATCTGCGCCGGTATTAAACTCGCCTTTCTGGGATAGAAGACAAGCCTATGTAGCTGAATCTCTAGAATCGCCTGGCTTCCACATAGGTTCTCATGGTAGCATGGGTTTTCCTGGCTCACCCTCACATCCAATGGAAATTGGCTCTCATAAGTCCTTTTCCCATGTTGTTGGGAATCGCATGGATATAAATTCCCAAAACGCTGTACTGCGATCTCCTCAACAGTTATCCCATCTCTTCCCTGGGAGGAGCCCAATGGGTTCAATGCCAGGCTCATATGACTCGCCGAATGAACGATACAGGAACCTGTCTCACCGTAGAAGCGAGTCTAGCTCTAGTAACGCTGACAAGAAACTCTATGAGCTTGATGTTGACCGTATATTACGTGGGGATGATAGCAGGACAACGTTGATGGTTAAAAACATTCCTAATAAGTAAGTGAACTCAGTGTTTATGTCTCCTACTCTGTTTCAACTGTTAACTATTCCTTATGCTGCTATGGTTTAGGTACACTTCTAAGATGCTTCTATCTGCCATTGACGAGCACTGTAAAGGAACATATGATTTTCTGTATTTGCCAATTGACTTCAAGGTAAGTAGGCGTCAAGTCTTATGCAGAAACTGGGCTTTTTTCTTGTTTTGCAATATTGCTTCCGTAATCTAATTTTCACCTTCTCATTCAGAACAAATGCAATGTGGGATATGCTTTCATCAACCTGACCGAACCTGAAAAGATTGTCCCGTTTTACAAGGTACAGCTATGTGTTGCTGCTTTTCCTACATCGTTTCGCTTTATTTGGAACATCATTAGTTAAAGGTTGTAAATACACTCACTCGCAGGCGTTTAATGGCAAAAAGTGGGAGAAGTTTAACAGCGAGAAGGTGGCAACACTTACATATGCTCGAATCCAAGGAAAAGTAGCTCTTATTGCCCATTTTCAGAATTCAAGCTTAATGAACGAAGACAAACGTTGCCGACCTATTCTTTTCCATACCGATGGTCCAAATGCTGGTGATCAGGTGAACGTTATTAACACATCAGATAACATCATCTTGCTAGGTTTTCATCTGTTTTGTTTCCTTTTGTTATTAATGGCTCAAACTCGCTCTCACTTTGTGGCACGTATTTAAAATGGGTTCTTGTGATCTAATAGTTTCATACTCAATGAGAGATTGATTTGTTTCATAGTTTCACCTTTCTTGTTTTTTTTTTTTGCAGGAACCGTTTCCAATGGGCACCAACATACGATCAAGACCAGGAAAGCCAAGAAGCAGTAGCACTGATAACTACAACAGCTTTAGCACCGCTTCCATTTCAGATAACCGAGAAGAACCTCCTAATGGAACAGAGAACTAACCAATGAGCAAAAAAAAGAAGAGCTAAAGATAACAAAAGGTTAATATATATATTATATCATCTAAACACCCTAGAGTTCTGTAAATCAGGGGTGTTAAATGCAGTGAAGAAATTTTTTTGGAAAGATCATGAACTTTGCTGACTACAAACATTCCCCCAGCTTGCTTCACCAGTTTTGTTGTATTATTAAAATCCCCATACAAATCTTCCAGACTTCCTCTTTTTGTGTGTGTTTTGTTTTGGGGTTATATTCAAGGGTTTTTGGGTTCTTGCTATCAATGTAACAAGCCTTGGATTAACACTCCATCTTCTTTTGCTGGCTATTTGTGGCCATCTCATGTTGTAACTCTCTGGGAGATTTTTTTTTTGAATGCTTCCTTTTTGGATATGAAATATTAAAATTTTCCTAATTTGTTTTTTTCTTCTACCATGCCATCATTTTATTCTCAAAGTCTTGGTTTTTGATTAAGAGATTATCGTTAATGTGTCATCATGTATATATGTGCCTACAAAATGGGTCACATGGTTTAAGTTCTCAAATGGCGGGTCATGATGCTTTTGATTCCACTTGGTGTGTCACCTTCTGCTAGAACAGTAACCTGGAGTTAAGTAAAGTATGTACAAGTTTACACGCTTGTCAGTGTCTTTCTCCATGTTGATAAACTTGTTAGGTCATCATGGATGGTGCAGCTTCGTAGAACAGAATCTCTGGCCGAATCTTCCTTTCTCCACAGAATCTAACCACACTCTTCCAGTTACCAACAACCTATGCCATTACCACACATATATGTTATCCCAAGAATTCAACACAAGGAAGACAATATCAACTGTTTATGTCGTACCTCTCCTGCTAAAGACTCACGTCTTAGATTAACCCACCGGTTCTTTTCATAAGCCATGCAGATGTGTTCTTCCTCCTCTTCACTGTAACCAACCTGCATCTCATCCCATATATTCTGATACTATAACAGACTAGCAGAGAGATACAGAAAAAAGAAATAAAACAGCATTTGTGACACTGTTTCACTTTTTTTGTTACCATTGACACAAGCCGGTAGTTTGTGTTCGGTTCTAAGCCTTTGTAGAGCCTGCTAATATCTATCTCCCACTCCAAAGCCTTTGTGGTTTCAGCTATTTCTTTTTCAGTTTCACTCTTTTCCCATTCTAACACTAATGTAGCAAACCCCACAAAACACCATTCTTATTTTATAACAAATGAAATGAGTATATGAGATTACTTTCATGGTTCTCAAAACTAACCGATTGTGAAGATAGGTGGACATCTATTAATAACATGATGAACACAATTTGTTGTTCCACAGCCTCCAGTTTCAATGTCACATAACATTTTATAATTCATGAGGTCCACCTTAAGGATATCCACAAACTTTATATCCTCAAAAGCACACTGCATATATATATAAGCACAGTAAAACTTTATAATGGGAAGTACCAGTTTCTCTAGGAAAGACAATGAGCCAAACTAATGAAACATACCTTCATGTTTCTAATTAAATCTGCAGCCATAACAATGCCATAAGAACTCTGCTCTGTGTAATTTGGCTCCCTTCTGCATTTTCTACAACTCATTCTTTCATTTTCCTCCAAAGTAAAAAGCCGAGTCACCACGCTTTCTCTTTCTGAAATTTTCCAGCAATGCCAAGACTCAAGGATGGTTACAAGTACCTCAGCAGCACCACGTGACTGAAAAGAATGAAAAGTACAATAGCTTTAAAATAATAATTAAGGAACATATAAATACCATGCTTAGAAGCTTATATTATTCACACGAACCATGGAATTAACTTCATCCAGGGACACGAGTATGTCTCTCATGATGAGACTGTAGACTCCTTCAGTTTTTATTTCCTCTGACACAACAGAGGTAAATAAACTTTCTAGTGCACAAAGAACTTGTTCTTCTAGGTTGTCATAACATGGTTGCTTATTGTACTTTAGAACTTGTTCTTTAAGAACGCTTATGTTCAGAAGGGCCTGCAACATCAAAAGAATAATAAGGTAAAGAGATGGAATGAGCTGAATCAGAAGACGACGGCTTAGGAGTTGCTTTACCTTGAGCGTCATGTCAAGAGCTGAGTTGTATCTAGTTGCTCCAAGTCCTGACTCCAAATTTCCAGAGACTGAATCTTCTCCAGGCATGTTTAGTATATCTACAAGATGGCGAGTGAATGTCATAAGAAGGATGAATCTTAAAACAAACTCAAAAAAGTACAATTTTTTTTTTCAAATTATTCGTCAATTGAGAAGCTCCTTTTTACCACCACTGTTAACTTTAATAGCTCCTTGAATATCATTGGTGAATGAAATTTCCAATGGACCCTTTTCAGTTGTAAGAGTAACTTCTGGTTCCATGGAACCTTCTTCCATCGTTTCTAGTGATTGAGATGTACCTCCCGGTTCAAGGTCGACAGAAGGTTTGCTGGACATGTAAGAAAACGTTTTGCTCAGAGTAAAACCCTAAAACAAATACGCCAAAAAGGACTCTAGAGGTAGGTACCATGCAAGTAAATGTAATTCCCTTAAATAGCAAAACTGTTACGAGAATATCGGGATGAGGTATCTATCACTTACTGTTCAAGGGGACTAGCCATCCTCGTTGAAGTTATCTGTTTCCCATGAAGACCATTCATTCTTAGAACCGATTTGCAGAAAGTCAGAGAAGCAAATAGAGAATTTAAAACTTCAAAGACCTTAATTCTTTTACGTGTCTTCTTCTTCTTTTTTCCCTGTGACTTCTTCTCTTCTTTGAGTATAAGATCTGCTTCTGCTGCATCTGACTTGACTTCGGATTTCACAATTACAATTTCATTCTACATGAAAAGAGACATGAAAATATAAAAGAAACAAATCAACAGGCAAATAAAAGCTCTCTGTGTATAAATGAAGTTTCAAACCAACCAGCAAGAAAGGTTTCAGTGTGAATTAATATAAAAATGAGCTAAATCAGAAGACGACAGTTTTTAGTTTTTTTGTTTGGTTACTAAATCAGAAGACGGCGGCTTAGGAGTTGCTTTACCTTTAGTGTCATGTCAAGAGCTGAGTTGTCTTTAGTTGCAGCTCCTCCAAGTGCTGACTCCAAATGTCCGGACAGTGAATCTTCTCCTGGCTTGTCTTGCATATCTTGAAGATGGCAAATGGATATTAATAAGAATGATTTATCTTCAAAAGAAAACAAAAGGTTCAAATTATTGGTCAATTTAGAAGCTCTTTTTACCACCACTGTTAGCTTCTTCTTGAATGTCATTGGTGGATGAAATTTCCACTGGACCTTTTTCACTTCCTAAAATTTCTTCTGGTTCCACGGAATCTTCTTCCACCGGTTCAAGGTCCTTAGAAGGTCTTCTGTACATGTAAGAACACGTTTTGCTCAGAGAAACCCCAAAACAGTCCATCAAACACGCCAAAAAGGTACTCACTGTTCAACAAGCTTATCAACGGGACTAGCCATGTTCGTTGAAGTTCTCTGTTGCCCATGAAGACCATTCATTCTTAGACCGATTTTCAGAGAAGTCAGAGAACTAAATAGAGAGTATAAAACTTCAAAGACCTTAATGCTTTTACTTGTCTTCTTCTTCTTCTTCTTTTTTGCCTGTGACTTCTTCTCTTCTTTGAGTAAAAGATCTGCTTCTACTTCTGCCTTGGCTTTTACTTCCATACTTACAATTTCATTCTACATGAAAAGAGACATGAAAATATAAAAGAAACAATTCAAATACCAAATCAGACGAAAAATGAGAGCTCTCTGCATATAACCAAAGTTTTAAACCAACAAGGAAGAAAGGTTATAGCAGTTGAATCTTTTCTTTTGTTTACTGCTTTACCTTTAGCGTCATGTCAAGAGGTGAATTGTATCTGGCTGCATCTCCTTCAACTGTAGGAGCTTCCACTTGAATGTCAGTGTTGGATGAAGGTTTTCTGTACATGTACGAGTTTTGTTCAGAGAAAACCAGAAAACAATTTAAAAAAAAAAACTACTGAGGTACTTACTTTTCAACTGTCTTATCAACAAGACTATCCATGCTCGTTGAAGTTCTCTGTTAAGCCCATTCATTCTTAGAACTGATTAACCGAAAAGTCAGAGATGAACATAGAGACTTTAGAACTTCAAAAACCTTAATGCTTTTATATTTTTTCGTCTTTTTGGCCTGTGACTTCTTCTCCTCTTTGAGTGACTTCTTCCCCTCTTTGAGTAAAAGATCTGCTTCTGCTGCATCTGACTTGACTTTGGATTTCATTAATTTAATTTCACGCTAGATGAAAAGAGACGTGGAAAAATATAAGAAACAATTCAAATACCAAATCAGACGGCAAATGAAAGCGCTCTCTGTGTGTATAAATGAAGTTTCAAACCTACCAGCAAGAAAGGTTTCAGAAAATGAAGCATATAAGAGCGGTTGTCAAAAGCAGAAAGCCTTGTGAGGTTGTCTAACAATTTAATCCTTGAATTATCAATCAGCAATATCTTTGCATCGATCAGCAGAACCTGCAAGTCATGTAGATAGTTTTAGATGGAAAGTTTTATGTTATTCTGTTGTTAATGGATAAATTCAATCATGAATAAACCTTTTCGGTGACCAATGATTTCAGAAGCCCTATGGACTTCAACACTGTATCATTGCTGAGACATTTACCCTCACGTATAAGACTCATGCACTCTTCTAAGTCAGAGAAATCAAATGTCAGATCCCATGCTCCGTTTAAAACATCTCGTACTGTACACAAGAATAGCTTTGCAGTGAGGGAATTTTCAGGGAGTCTCTCTTCGGATCTCTTGCAGAGAAGAGAAGCATAGCTGTTCCTTTGATCCTCTTGAACAATCTTTCTTCTTTCATCTTCAAGCATACACAAGTTCTCCACGACAGTAAGAGCTGCTTCGTAATCTAAGACCTGCTTTTTCTTTGCATATTTGGATCTCAAAGCTCTACATGTGTAGTGAAGAAATCTCAGAACAGTCACCGAGACTGCAAGATTGTGTTCCCTGATAGGTTTTGGGAAGCTCTTATCTCCTGAAGAGTGGTCACCTAACCAGGATATCATATCATCTCCCTGAGCTTGTGCATTGGCGTAGTGAACATCAGGGTTCTCAATGAAATGGATTTTCCCATTATGATCATCATCAAATGAAGCAATATTTCTTTTCAACAGCCTCTTGTCCAGAAGCAGCAAGGAAAACTGTTCGTCAAAGTCGATGTTTTCTTTAATTCGAATGCGATCCAACAGACTGTCCACTGCTCTGCTAACCACATCTGTGCCATCATGCCTTTCACACTTGATCATTTTTAGAAAACCTCGGATTTGTATTATTTCATCACGTTCCAGAAAACAAATGCTTTGTGGTGTTTCCAGAATGTGACAATCCTTTATACTCTGTTCTGAGACATCAAGTTTTCTAAGATGCTTAACAGCAAAACGCATCACCCAGTCTCGAATGCTGCAAGAGAGAATCTGATGCTCACAGAGCGACACAAGGAGTAACTTGACTTCCTTAAGTAAACCACTCCGCTCTTCATCCACAGCCAAAGGCCATTGGTCTGACCATCCCTTCTTCCTAGATTTACTTGTAAACTCTTTCACAACTTTTACCTGAGTGTTGATCATATCAACGGCAGCTACTGTATCCACTGGCTCCCATCCCCCATCCTGTATCTTATTAGCCCAGTTTCTCCCTATCCTCATCACCATATCCTTTTCCAAATCTGCAGTATGTTTCTGCTCAAGATGAGTCCTGCACTCTTCAGCACTAAAGCACACCTTATCACATTTACTTCGACACACCCAAACTCTCCAACTCTTGTGTTCCCTGGCAATAGCGAGAACGTGTTCCAAAACATCTACTCCCTTTCCTTTATCTACTCCCTTGACAAAACTTCTAAGCTTCTCAATGCTTACTTTCATAAAATCCCTCTTCACCTTAACATCTAAACCCATCCAATACGACCTCAACTCACCAACCCTATCCACACTCCTCTTCTCTGAATCACAAACTTCCCGCGGCACGCGGATTTCTACACACATAGTGTTGAGTTCACCAATCCTCAACTCTGCCTCTTTAACTGAATCCTCAAGCTCTTTCTTATCTCTGGCACCGAATTCTAGCAGTTCTGATACCCAAACTGGAGCAGCAGCAGGATCCGAGACTTCTAAGGAAGAACCAGATAACCCCTGTCTACCATATCTAACACATTCCTTGTAATACAATACTGAACCAAGGCGTTCACCTAGTGTGAGGAGTACACGTGTACAAAACGATGATAAGGATAACATAACGTCTTCAGTAACGCATCCTAGAGACCCCAAATAGTAGACGACCTCCATGTCAGCGTCACGGGCTTCTTCCACTAAATCTCTGAATATAATATTCTGTTTTTTACGAAGAAACCATAAGTTCTCGTCTTCTCCGTGGACTGATATCATGTCGTCGAGTATCTCCAGGGCCTTGCTGTGGTCTCCGTTGTGGCGGAGACGTTTGACCTTTTCGTAGAGTTTCATGACCTTAGCATCGTTGAGGAAAGTAGGCGCCATTGAACAGGATTTTCAAGATTCTTGGAGCTTTCTTGAAGTGCTCTCAAGAGTCTTTTTTTTTTTCTTCTTGTGAGAAGAAGCGGGAAGATAACAGATTGTAACAGCTTTTATCACGTGAATGCCACGTGATGAGATAAAAAAACAACCAAGCCCAAATATTGACCCCACTGGGGAATTGTGTCGAACACTTTGTGTGCATTTTTTTACCGTTTGAGATTTTAGTAGACACACACAGCCACGCTTCATTTCCCGGAATAAACCAAGTAGTACGTGATGTTAACGTGTTCTTTCTTAATGGGCTTTCTCTCTCGTTTCTTGGGCCCAACATAAGCCATTAATGGGCTTTCTCTCTCGTTTCTTCGGCCCAACATAAGCCATAAGCTTGTCGAAAAGTTCTAAACTTTTACAAATCTTCGTCTGATTTCCTTTTTCAGCTAATAATGTTTATGAAGTAACATTATTATAGTCAATTAAGTTTTGTTTTTGCCACTTTTAGAGCAATCTGATTTCCTTCGACCTGAGAAACATATCAATAAAACAAGAAACATTATATTTATTTCATTGATCGGTTTTGAAATATCATTCCATGTGTTTTCCTCATTGACCATAACTATGGAACAGAAAAATAACTTCTTTTCAATTGAAACATGTCATTGTTATATACATCAATGCTTGTGTTTTCACACTTGTTAGGCCTTCATGGATATCAGGCAGCTTCATAAAGCAGAATCACTGGTCGAACTTTCCTTTCTCCACAGAATTTCACCACATTCTTCCAACTGTTGCCAACAACCTATTTGGCATCACCACCACACAAATGTTAACAATGTCAGCCTTTTTATCTATCAAACTCATCTGTTTTTGTCATACCTTTCCTGCTAAAGACTCACGTCCGAGATTGACCCACCGGTTCTTTTCATACGCCATGCAGATGTGTTCTCCTTCTTCACCAAATCCAACCTGCATTCACATCCCAATATTCTCAGCATGTAACAGAGAGATACAGGAGAAAGAAATAGAACAAGCATTTGTGACACTGTTTCACTTTTTTTTTTTTTTTACCATTGACACAAGCCGGTAGTTAGTGTTTTGTTCTAAGCCTTCGTAGAGCCTGCTGATATCTATCTCCCACTCCAAAGCCTTTGTTGTTTCAGAAATTTCTTCTTCAGTTTCACTCTTCTCCCATTCCAACACTAATTGTTGCAAACCCCACAACACACCAATGATATTTGTAATAAATGAAATGAGTATACGATATCACATTCATACTGTTCAAAACTTACCGATTATGAAGATTGGTGGGTATCTACTTATAACATGATGAACAACATTTGCCGTTCCACAGCCTCCACTTTTAATGTCACATAACATTTTGTATTCCATGCGCATCACCTTAAGGATATCCACAAACTTCATATTCCTAAAAATACACTGCATAATATGTATATATATAAGCACATAACAGTTTCTCTAGGAAAGACAGAGAACGACATAAATTAAACATACCTTCAAGTCTCTGACTGAATCTGCGGCCATAACAATGCCATAAGAACTCTGCTCTGGGTAATTTGGCTCCCTTCTGCATTTTCTACAACTCATTCTTTCATTTTCCTCTAATGTAAAAAGGCGAGTCACCAAGCTTTCTCTTTCTGCATTTTTCCAGCAATGCCAAGACTCAAGGATGGTTACAAGTGACTCAGCAGCACCACTCAACTGAAAAGAATGAAAAAATACAATACTCTTAGTAACAAAAAAGTAATAATACTAATAATATGATGCTTAGAAGCTTATATTATTCACACGAACCATAGAATTCACTTCTTCCATGGACACGAGTAAGTCTCTCAAGATGAAACTGTAGACTTCTTCAGTTTTTATTTCCTCTGACACAACAGCTGTAAATAAATTTTGTAGCGCAGGGAGAACTGGTTCTTCTAAGTCGTCATGAAACGTTTGCTTATTGTGCTTTAGATCTTCTTTAAGAACGTTTATGTTCACGAGGGCCTGCAATAATTTAAAGAGATATGGAATGAGATAAATCAGAAGATGACAGTTTAGGTACTGCTTTACCTTTAGCGTCATGTCAAGAGCTGAGTTGTATCTGGTTGCAGCTCCTCCAACTGTTGACTCCATATCTTCTCCAGGCATGTTGTGGATATCTTAAAGATGGTGAATGAATATAGTAAGAACGATGAATCTCAAAACAATAAAAGTTCAAACTATTCGTCAATTGAGAAGCTCTTTTTACCATCACTGTTAACTTTAGTAGCTCCTTGAATGTCCAATGGACCCTTTTCACTTCCTAGAGTATCTTTTGGCTCCATGGAATCTTCTTCCACCTGTTTTGGTGATTGAGATGTACCTGCCGGCTCGGTAGAAGGTTTTCTGTACATGTAAGAATACGTTTCGCTCAGTGTAAAACCCTAAAACAAATACGCCAAAAAGGACTCTTAAGGTACCATGTAAGTAAACTTATTTCCCNCAATGGACCCTTTTCACTTCCTAGAGTATCTTTTGGCTCCATGGAATCTTCTTCCACCTGTTTTGGTGATTGAGATGTACCTGCCGGCTCGGTAGAAGGTTTTCTGTACATGTAAGAATACGTTTCGCTCAGTGTAAAACCCTAAAACAAATACGCCAAAAAGGACTCTTAAGGTACCATGTAAGTAAACTTATTTCCCTTTTAAATAGCAGAACTGTTACGAGAATATCTATCACTTACGGTTCAAGGGGACTAGCCATGCTCGTTGAAGTTATCTGTTGCGCCATGAAGACCATTCATTCTTATAACCGATTTGCAGAAAAATCAGAGAAGCAAATATAGAGTTTAAAACTTCAAAGACCTTAATGCTTTTACTTGTCTTCTTCTTGTTTTTTGCCTGTGACTTCTTCTCTTCTTTGAGTAAAAGATCTTCTTCTGCTACATCTGACTTGACTTTGGATTCCGTATTTACAATCTCATTCTAGATGACATAACGACATGAAAACATATGAGAAACCGCTCAAATGAGAGCTCTCAGTAAAAAGTTTTAAACCAACCAGCAAGAAAAGGTTTTAGCAATTGAATCTTTTCTTTTGGTTACTGCTTTACCTTTAGCGTCATGTCAAGAGATGAGTTGTATCTGGCTCCAGCTCCTTCAACTGTAGTAGCTTCCACTTGAATGTCAGTGTTGGATGAAGTTTCCAATCGACCTCTTTCTGGTTCCTTAAAATCTTCTTGCGGTTCAAGTCTGACAGAAGTTTTTCTGTACATGTACGAACAAGTTTTGTTCAGAGAAAACCAGAAAACAATTTAACAACACGCAAAAGACTATTGAGCTACTTACTGTTTAGCAGTCTTATCAACAGGCTTAGCCATGCTCTTTGAAGTTGTCTGTTAAGCCCATTCATTCTTAGAACTGATTAACCGAAGAGTCACAGAAGCAAATAGATAATTTAGAACTTCAAAAAACCTTAATGCTTTTCTCTTTTTGCGTCTTTTCGGCCAGTGACTTCTTCTCCCCTTTGAGTGACTTCTTCCCCTCTTTGAGCAAAAGCTCTGCTTCTGCTGCATCTGACTTGACTTTGGATTCCATATCTACAATCTCACCCTACATGATAAGAGACAATTCAAATACCAAATTAGCCGGCAAATCAAAGCTCTCTGTGTATAAAGAAAGTTTCAAACCTACCAGCAAGAAAGGTTTCAGAAAATGAAACATATAAGAGCGGTTGTCAAAAGCAGAAAGCCTTGTGAGGTTGTTTAGCAGACTAATCCTTGAATTATCAATTAGCAATATCTTTGCATCGATTAGCAGAACCTACAAGTCATGTAGATAATTTTAGATAGACTATTTTCTGTTTATATGATGCTGTTAAAGAATATATTAAAATCATGAACGAACCTTTTCGGTGACCATTGATTTCAGAACGTCAATGGACTTCAACACTGTATCATTGCTGAGACTTTTAGGCTTGCGTATAAGATTCATGCAAACTAGTAAGAAGGGAAGATCATATGTCGAATGCATAGCTGCTCCATCTTCGTGTAAAACATCTCGTACTGCACACAAGAATAGTGCTGAAGTGACTAAACTTTCAGTGGCTCTCTCTTCGGATCTCTTGCGGAGAAGAGATTCATAGCTGTTCCTTTGATCTTCATGCATACACAAGGTCTCCACGTCAGTAAGAGCTGCTTCGTAATCTAACACCTGCTTTTTCTTTTCATATTTGGTTACCAAAGCTCTACATGTGTACTGAAGAGCCCTCAGAACAGCCACCCATATATCGAGATTGTGTTCCCTGATAGGTTTTGGAAAGCTCTTATCCGCTGAAGAGTAGTCAACTAACCAGGATATCATACCATCTCCCTGAGCCTGTGCGTTGGCATCAGATGGAGCATTATTTCTTTTCAACAGTCTTTTATCCAAAAGCAGCAATGAAAACTCCTCGTCAAATTCGAGACTTTCTTTAATTCCAATACGTTCCAACAGACTGTCCACTGCCTTGCAAACATGATCTGTACCATCATGCCTTTCACACTTGATCTTCTTTAGAAAGTCTCTGATGTGACTGAGCTCATCACGTTCCAGAAAACAGATGCTCTGTGGCGTTTCCACTAGGTGACACTCCTTAATACTCTCTTCTGAAACTTCAAGTTCCCGAAGTTGCTTAACCGGAAAACTCATCACCCAGTCTCGAATGCTGAAAGAGAGAATCTGATGCTGACAGAGCAACACAAGGAGTAACTTTATTTCCTTGAGTAAACCACTCCGCTCTTCATCTTCAGCTAAAGGCCATTGGTCTGACCATCCCTTCTTCCTAGATCTAGTTGTAAAAGCTTTTACATCTGCGAGCTGAGTGTTGATCATTCCAACGGAAGCTACTGTATCCAGAGGTTTCCAAGGCCCGTTCTGTACCTTATCAACCCAGTTTCTCCCTACCCTCTTGACCATATCCAAAGAAGTTTTAAAATCTACATCATGTTTCTCTTCAAGATGAGTCTTGCAATCCTCAACACTAAAACACACCTTATCACATTTAGTTCGACACACCCAAACTATCCATGACTTGTGCTCCCTCGCAATACCGAGAACTTCTTCAAAAACATCTAGTCTCTCTTTTTTATGCACACCCTTAACAAAACCTCTAAGCTTCTCGATGCTTACTTTCATAAAACCTCTCTTGACATTAACATCTAACCCCTTCCAAAACGACCTCAACACACCAACCCTACCCTCAACCCGCGGCGGCTCTTGACCCTCCTCCGACTCAATAGGTCTCGGCTTGTAGTAGTTTACTATAGTCCGATTAGACCCGGATAACTTGACCCTCCACTCAGCCTCTTTGACGATTCTCTCAAACTTCTCCTTATCTTTGGCCTCGAGTGAGTGAGAAGCAGCTAAAACCTTTTCACCACTGCGAATGCATTTCTTGAGATAGAGCACTGATCCAAGAGAGTTACCCAATAGGCGAAGGACGCATGTACTTTGCATCGTTGTCCTCTCATCATCTTGTGTAGAGCATCCTAAAGCACCCAAGAAGTAGGTGACCTCCACGTCCTTGGTCTCTGATTTTTTCATCGCTAGACCCGAGAATATAGTGGCTTCTTCGAGTAAAAGACGCACTATGTTGTGCTTGTCTTCTTCACTGTGGAGTGAGATGATACCGTGAACTATCTCCAAGGCCTGCCTGTAGTCTTCCTTTTCTTGGAGAGCTTTAGCCTTGGCTAAGAGTAACACCTCCTTTGCATCCATTGAAGACGACTCTCTCTCTCTCAAGGTTCTTGCAACTTTCTTGGAGAGTTTTTTGTTTTTCTTCTTCTTGAGAAGAGAAGAAGAAGCGCGAAAGATAACAGAATGTAACAGCTTTTATCACGTGAGTGCCACGTGATGAGAAAAAAAAACAGAATATTAACAGCAACGGAGTCTCAGGAGGCTGGGTTTTATCACGTGAGTGGCACGTGATGAGAAAAAATAAATAGCTGAGGCCCAATATTGGCCCATTGGGGAATTGTGTCGAACACCTTGTGTGCATGTTTTTTTTTTTTAGATTGGTACACACACAACCACGGTTCGACTCTAGGGATAAACCAAACGATACGAAACACATAAAACAAGCAGAAGCTGGCTTTCATCACGTGACTGCCACGTGATGAAAAAAAAAACAGCTGAGGTCCAATATTGACCCATTGGGGCATTTTGTCGAACACCTTGTGTGCATGTTTTTGTTTTTTTCTAGATTGGTATACACGCAACCACGCTTCGAATACCGGATAAACCAAACAATAAGAAACACACAAAACACGTGTGCATCTTTGAGTTTGATTTATATGCAGAATCGTCTTCATCTTGGAGAAATGTTTTTGGATTTGAAAGAGACGACGCAGAAGACTTGAACGGAAAATCGTCTTCATGTGTGGGGTCGAACAAGTGTGTCAAGTACAACGAAATTACATACACAAGTAACTAATATATTTTTTAATGGGCTTTCTCTCTCGTTTCTTAGGCCCATCCTATATACTATCTCATCCTATATATTAGATATTTTAGCCCATCCTATATACTATCTCATCCTATGTATTAGATATTTTCAGAACGTAAATATACTACTCCCTCTCTCTTTCAAAAAAATTAGATATTTTAACTTTTTTACATATATTAAAAAAACATATGAAATTTTGATTACCAATGCAACTTTTTGTATTTAACAATTTATCATTAATTATTACATTAAAAGTGTAAAAAAATTATCTTTTTGAAACATATATTTTTTTCTAGAAAATGGCTCGTAAACAGAGGGAGTATTATATTTGATTACTATTTTCTTTAATTTTAATTAATTTATAATTTGTATGCATAATATATACTAGTAATATTATATTACTTTAAATAAACATATTATTTTAGATATGTTATATCTAGTCGGTTTTATTGTTTTTACAGTTGATTTAGTTATTATTTGAGTTTGTTGGATTACTTATAATTCTCTGAATTCAACTATAATATTTTTAATGCTAAATCTATTTAAATGTTAATTAATTTTCTTATTTGCATTTAGGTTGGTTGTTATGTTATATATATCAATATGTTTTCGGAAGATTACATATAATTTAATATATAATGTGCTTCGAATGAAATAAAAATAAACTAAAGTGATTGACTCTAGAATAAATAAATTAATATAAAAAAATTATTCACAAGTCTCATGCATATATATAAATTTATCAGAAGAACTAAATTTCAACAGTCGGTTAATATTTTATTTTCATTTTTAATATGTTTTGAGTTGTCTTATAATTCATTTATAAAATTAATTATTATTATTATAAAACTATATATTATTCTTATAGTTAAATCTTTGATTTTAAATATAAGTTGGATTAGTAGAGTCATTCATGTTGTAAGTATATTAAGTTACATATATTCTTTCAAATTCCAACTAAAGTGTAATTATTTTTATTATAATTAAATAATATCAAATTAATTTTATTTATCGCTTAAATGTTAATAATATTTATCAATAAGAAATTACATACATAAGAAACTAATATATTTTTGAAAGCTCATGAACACATATCAATATTTACAATAATTAAAATAATTAAAATATTTTATAAATTCTAAATAATGTATGCCTAAAATTTATTGAGGTAAACTGAATTTTATATTAAATAATCTTAAAAAATGAGAATTCATATTTGCTTTGGTATTTTGATTATGGTTATATTAAACTCCACATAGAAAATATTGTTATAATATTTTATAATTATTTGATCAAAAGATGTTTATTGTTAAAATTTATTTTATTTTTAATATCTTAAAAATAAGCAGTAAAAAGTTGTGATTGTATTTGAAAATCATATTACATAAGTAAAATATAATTTACAGATATTTTTTGCTGTAATTGAAAGATATTATAGTCAACTAAATATACGAAAAAATAAAACATTTCAATAATACTAATTATAAAACTATTTTAGTCACTTAAACATATTTCATTTTATATTATTTATTTACTTAATCATCTAAAAAATTAGATAATTATATAAAAAATATTTCTAATACTTTAAAAGTATAAATTTGGATTGTTAAAAAAAAATTTTAAAGGGATAATATTCTTTTTATAATATCAAAATTATATATGAATTATCCCTCTCGTCTTTTGTTTTTATTTTAAATGTCCATGTAGTGTGGAATATATTAATTTAGGTCTTTTCTCATATACACAACACATTAATTTCTACAGTGTTATGAATTATTGCATTTTTATATTAGAGTGGTTTTTTCGTTCTTATACTTTTAAAATATTAACAAAATAATTATTATAATAATTTTAAGTTCTGAAGAATACTTCTACCCATCATTTGACTAATTATAAGACAAGCTCCTCAAATCAAACCTAAAATAACATATAGTTTAATAAAACACCTCCGTGGTCTAAAAGTATTCTTACATTAATTCTTTTACTATCTTTGATTTCTTTGTGAAATACCTCTTGGTTACGAATAAAAGAAGTTGTTTACTACAAAAAAAAAACTAATGAATTATTTATTTAAAATAGATTATTAAAATATTTAGTTATTCAAAATGAAAATAAGGAATATTTCCGATAAGAAGTTATATATCACAAAAAAAGAGATATAAAAACATCTAAATTCATTACTTTTGCATATTTTTACACACAAAAAAAACTTAAGCAAAATATAAGAATTTTTTGAGTAAAATGTAAGAATAATATATGAAATGATAACTAAAGAAAGCAGATGTGAAGATTTGAAGTAATGACTAGTTGACAAAGCGAACTTATAAGATGATAAGTCACTATGACCAGATGTGAAGACTTGAAGAATACCAACCAGAATGATATAAAAGATTTTCTTTTCGTTTTATTTTCAAAAGAAAACTGTTAAGGCTACATGATAAAAAAATAACACCTTCCATGTTAATGAAACAGCTAAATGTAGAACATATACACATCTCTCCATATCAAAAATCAGAACTAATTCCCCTTTCATTCNTCACTATGACCAGATGTGAAGACTTGAAGAATACCAACCAGAATGATATAAAAGATTTTCTTTTCGTTTTATTTTCAAAAGAAAACTGTTAAGGCTACATGATAAAAAAATAACACCTTCCATGTTAATGAAACAGCTAAATGTAGAACATATACACATCTCTCCATATCAAAAATCAGAACTAATTCCCCTTTCATTCCCATAAAACTAGAAACCCACAATTACATACACATATATAATATATACATACACACATACATATTTTTAGAACTCCAAGTATAAAAACTCCCAATAATGTTGCTCTTATAGGAGATCGGGACGGCGGGGAGTTCCTTCGCCATGTCTGCTCCGCCTTCGGCATGATTATGTTTTTTTTTTTTTTATAACGACTGCTTTATTGATTACTAGGAGGAAATGTAATCTATGTGAAGGTCTACAGAAATCGACCTTGGAACATAGTTATAGTGACGATTTCATCTTCGTGTCGTTATCATACTTTTTTGTTGTACCAATTTAATTAAAAAGCAAGGGCAGTTAAGTCATTTTGTTGTTAAGAGAAGTGTGTCGAGAGCAAGAAGTGTCGATATAAGAAACCTCCACAATGTAATTCTTTCAATCTACAATTTCTCTTTTTTACACACAAAAGATTTGCACAAACTATACCGTCCGCCCCCTGCTGAACAATCCTCGAATAGCGGGCAAAGGTGGGAAGACTTCGCCTTAGGGTTCTTCCTTTGTCTCACACTGGTCCTCGTCTTCCACTTTTGCAGAAGATGCATCCGACAGGGAGGTAAATTTGTCTGGGCCTTCTCCACTCCGGTTGCTCCTTCCTCATCAGCACCGGCTGCACCGTCAGACGACGTCGAGGCACAGCCGTAGTGTCAACCTGCTTAATTTTATGTCGTTATACTAAATTATAAACGTATAGTTTTTGCTTCAGACAAGGGCATTGGAAGTGGTCGGAGATTGGGACGGCGGGGAGTTCCTTCGCCGTGTCTGCTCCGCCTTCGGCATGATTAAGTTTTTTTTTTGTGTATAACGACTGCTTTATTGATTACTAGGAGGAAATGTAATCTATGTGAAGGTCTACAGAAATCGACCTTGGAACATAGTTATAGACATATGTAAAAATGTTTTTATTTAGAAATATATAAATTTTGTTTTAAAGTATGACTCGTCGTTGACGAACTCTGACTCCGATAAGAACCATAAGAGAGTAGAGGAGGAAGAGGAAGAGGAGAGAGAGAGATGAAGAAGAGAGAGAGAGAGAGAAACGAGAGAGTGAAGAAGAACAAAGAGAGAGAGAGAGAGAGAGAGAGAGAGAGAGAGAGAGAGAGAGAAACGAGAGAGAGAAGCTGACTCGTCGTTGACGAACTCTGACTCCGATAAGAACCATAAGAGAGTAGAGGAGGAAGAGGACAAGGAGTTGTTATTAATCTCTGAATCGAGTTTGATTTCGTTTTCTTTGACCACTAGATGAAGCAGATCTGAGGTTGAGATATGTCGAGTTCAGAGGTTTCGGTGAAAGGTACAAAGCTGTAATGAAGCTAGAAGCTAGAAGGGTAGAAGTAATGATTAAGTTATGAGGGTATTAGCTTCTGAGGGTAGAAGCTAGAAAGTTCAGTTTGTGGTCTAAAAGCTATTTATTGGGTGAATAAGGGTTTGAATGCAACGCAGAAGGAAAGCAGAAGAAAAACAGAACCAAAACTGATGCAGTTCCATTTGTATATATTGTCC